AGCAGCCTGTGACTCGCCTGTTGTCTCTCCAGAGAGAAGGCCTGCTTAGCAGTGATGGAGCAACCTGTGACTCCGGCCTCATGGACCTGCCAATTATTAAATAAGCACATGCTTCCAAACCGACTTCCTCATGAAAGCAAAGAACAAATAACGTTTAGATAAATAATATTTCATACTACGGTTGTATGGAAGGTCTGAACAAGAATATTTTCACGGCAGCCATGTTATAAATTCACTGGAATTAGCCAAAGAACTGGTACATAAACTTTTTGCTACAAATACTAGATTGTATCAGATGTTTTATTGACAAAATATATGGTTACGGCATTTTTATATGAGAATCAAAGTCTCATGTTATCTTAAGGAAGATGCTCTTATGAACATTCTTATGAGATTCTGTCCTAGTGACAAGGCAATTTTCATAAATGAAAGTAATTTTGAAGCAACATATAAAAAACAGATTTAGTGTTAAATGGATCATTTCCTGTGTTTGTCTGGGTAATTTCTCAGATGCATTTATTTAAATAGTTTGTCATTTTGCACTTTAAGTATATTTCTTATATTTAAAATTCAGGTTTAGCTCCATTATCAAAAGCACTTTAAGAACTTGAAGCTACTAAGCAGTCTCACCATAAACAGCGTTTTAATTAATTTTTGTATTTGTATAGTTTGCTGTCTGAAGTATGATGTCGCAATGCCACAATTAGAAATAAAGGGTTAAAAAATAAACTGCTTTTACTCTTCTGTTAGAAGTTTGAGAAGACTTTTGCAATAATTGTAATATTTAAGCATACAATAACTAATTTTGCAAATGAGATATCCTATTATATTGCTGTTTACCACTTAAAACACAAAAAAACTCCTGTAAACAAAACTATTAATTAATGCATCTGAATGTTCATACATCATTTTTCCTGTCATGAAATTACCATAATATGTGAATTTTAGCTAAGTGCAATGACTTAATCTATGAAACATAAATTACAAAGCTTTCTTTTACTCCATCCTACAGGGTGACAGCTGATTTAAACATTTGCTCGTATTCTGCTGCAGAGTATATAAGCAAGAGAACAAAGATATGTTTTATTCAGCATTGTCAGATGTGAATATTTATTTGTGTGCGCAACAATACTTACAGAACACTTATGTCTGTCGCATAAAGTGCCGATCAAGTAATAATGCCTTCTTTTATCTAAGAATTGTTATTTGTACGTGATTATCACGTGTTTCATTGTTCTTGGTTATTTTATTTTGGTAGTACTAGCCTATGTTTCAACTGTGTCATTCAGCTAACAAAATTACTATTGCCACAGGGAACTGTCAGTCAAAATGTATCACTTTCTAGTCATCAGTTGAACACAATTAATGATCATAATGATATTAATTATCAATGTAATGATTTGATGGACTTTGGGGAATTTGCAGGAGTGCTATAGTATTTCAAGCTGTATAATAACCCCTTTAAACAGAATAATCAAACCTAAACAGCAACCTACAATAGTGTTTTTGTGATGCAAAAATATAAAATGTACCTTAAAAATAACTGTACAGTATTATGGAAAAAGTTATTGGCTTCTGATTGTTCAGTTTTTTCTTCTACTGAAAGTCTCAAAGAGTTTCAAAATGCCTTCACCACCGAACAAGTTTTTTTTTTTATCTCACCGCTCCGCATGATCAGCATTCCTCGAGTCATGACAGAAGTAATATGGTGTATATTTCATTCGTCTGGAAATAACAAATCATATTTGCTGTGGCTGGGCAAACCAGTCATTTGTTAGGTGCCTGGCAGATGGAGGGAGAGGGGAGAGGGGACCTGTGTGTACAATGGCATGGAGATGCTGATAAACTGCTGTTTATTCAGCGACAACAACAGAGCCTGGCAGCAGCGATCTCCATGGCGATGCACAGCATCCCGGCCTGGCTCGCAAACAGCCGCACGTAATCAAGCGCACAGGCCGTCTTCGTGAGATTAGTCAGAGCTCTCCGTTCCTCCGCAGAAACATTAGGCTGTTTGTGACCCCTCCACCCCTGAGGAAACTGGGGGAAAAGCTGTTTTCAGTTTCTTCAAATTTGTCAGGAACTTTTCGGTGCTGTTTTGGCAGGGCGGGTGTTATTGTGATACTCTGCATGCCTAGCTTTGGGTGTTAAGTTTCTTTGGGAGAGGCACAGTGGGTAGCCTCACATTTTGGGGGCTGGGGGTTCTAATCCTGGCCACCCCAGCTCTGTATGAGGTTGTGGGTTTGCATATTCTTACTGTGCTGCATAGTTATGCAGTTCAGTGAACTGGTATCTCTAAATAGTCCATAGTGTTTATGTATGTGTGTGTGTGTGTGTGTGTGTGTGTGTGTGTGTACCCAGGGGTACATTGGCATAATGTCCATAGTGTCCCCTGACCTGTGCCACCTAAGATAGGCTCCAGACCCTGAGTGTGTGTGGGAATTTTTGCCCATTCATCCAGAAGAGCATTTGTGAGGTCAGGCTCTGGTGTTGGATGTGAAGGCCTGGCTTGCAATGTTCGTTCTAGTTCATCCCAGACATGTTTGATGGGCTTGAGGTCAGGTCACTGTGCAGGCTCGTCAAGATCTTCTACACCAAACTCACCCAACCATGTTTTTATGGGCCTTGCTTTGTGCACTGGGGTACAGTCATGCTAGAACAAAAAAGGCCCTTCCCCAAACTGTCCCCACAAATTTTTTACCAATTTTAACCAGGAAGCACAGAATTGTGTAAAATGTCTTTGCATGCTGAAACATTAAGAGTTCCCGTCACTGGAACTAAGAGGCCTAGTCCAACCCCCGAAAAACCATTATCCTTCTGCCACAATGCAGTCAGTCAGGTAACATTCTCCTGGCATCTTCCAAATCCACACTCATCCATCAGACCCCCAGACAGAGAAGTGTGATTCGTCACTCCACAGAACCCATGTCCACTGCCTCAGAGTCCAGTGGCAGCGTGCTTTTCACCACTCCAACCGATGCTTGGCATTGTGCTTGGTGATGTGACACTTGCATGCAGCTGCTCATCTATGAATAATGTCAGAGGAAGTTTGGAACTCTGCAGTTATTGAGTCAACAGAGCGTTGGTGACTTTTACACACTATTCACCTCAGCACTCGGCGACCCTGTTCTGTTACTTTACGTGGCTGAGTTTCTGTTGTTCCTAAGCGCTTTACACTTTGCAATAATACCACTTACAGTTGTCCAAGGAATATCTAGCAGGGAAGAAATTTTACAAACTAATTTATTGTGAAGGTGGGATCCTATGACAGTAGTACGATGTAACTTCCAAAGTACTCTGAGAATTAAAACCCTATATTCTTCTACTTAATAAAGGTATTAGTCTAGCTTATTTCCCTCAGTCAATTTGTTCCGTTCCAAAATAAATTACAGTTATATTGTATTTCCATGTAACAAATGAAGTGGATTTCTGAATCAAGTTCATCAGTATGTTTTATGTGATTATGAACTTGGAGCAGTTTTCCTGACTATAGAGCACACTGCTGGGGACAGTAAAGGCAGGGGGCAGTTGGAGGTATAATTGTGAAAGAGGATCAGGGGCGAGTAGGAGGTTTAACTGTGAAAGAGGATCAGGGGCGAGTAGGAGGTTTAACTGTGAAAGAGGATCAGGGGCGAGTTTGCCTGTTAAGTGCTGTAAGATGCTGGATACTGTTACTGATGCCTGCATGGCTCAGCCTTCAGTATCCAGTTAGTAGCACTGGTTCAGCAGTTTCTAGCCACTTTGCCCTCAGGACCACCAGCTTACTTGGAATCAGTCCTACAGCCCATGATGCTCAGTGTTGCTGTACTTGCTTCCCCATTAAGAGCATTAAGTATCTGTGGAAGTGCGCCAGCTAGCAGTTAATGCTGCATTCAAAGTATGGCCAACACTGTTGGAAAAAGACATTTAATATGGTCTGGGGAAGCAAAAAGTTATTGAGATGTTTCAAGGCGTTGAGCCTGGCATGTTGTGAGAGAGCAGCTTTATATTTTTATTAAATAAAAGTGATACAAATTTGCTGCCCTTATGCATGTTGGTGTTTATTGGTGCCCTGCCTTGACCTTCCACTTAGTAATGCATGTATACCACACGGAAAAACACGTCTAAGGACAAGCAAGCCACACCAGCCTCTACTGTATCTTTCACAAGGTCTCCTCCTCCTAAAATAGCCTCATTACTCCAACCAGGGAGGTGTAGTGGGCCCCTCTGAGGGAACAGGTGGTGCTGAGCAGGAAAAGCACCCCCCAGTAGCGCTTAGCTCCGAAGCGTCTCCCCAGGTGTGGCTGGCTGCGGGGGCCCGCCGCTCTCGCCATTAAGACAGACTGCGCCAGAGCAGCGTGCTTCCAGAGCAGATTATAGGGGCAATGAGACGAGGCGTGGTTAATTGGCGGGCATGCCGGCGTAATGAATGCGCCGTCTGTGCCCTCTACGTCAGGAGGCCTGCCCCCACCGCGGCTCTCTGAGTCCGCCTCGCGGTGCCTGCCTGCTCTGCACAGGGCCGCCCGGGCTCATCCACACATTTGTTGTGTTATTATTTACTGGGTTGCGGTTGACACGAGTGCAAAATGGCTTATGGAGTGAAAAATTCAGTTGACAAAGGCGAGAGGCACAAGCGGCGCGAATAGCAGCGGGGTTCGGCACCAGCCGTCCAGACGACGTTACTAATGGTTTGGGACAGTACTCTGTCTGGGTGGTGATTGAGGGGCACCGCCGCAGACAGCACCAGCACCCTGGAAGGTTCCAGAGCTGAGCACAGATCACCGGCGCTGGTGAAGGTGGCATCTCTCCGTGCCTGGTTTTGATGAGTTGCCTCTGCTTTAATGCCTTATTTTTAGGTTAACTGGCGTTTTATGTATATAAGTATTTATTGGTACTGTACAAATGCTTGAATTAATTTAATTAAGGATTAAACTAGATTTTTCTCCATTATGACCTGGTTAAAATTTTTAAGTCCATAAAAATTGTACACACATTAATGAATATAGCCATTGTTTGTTTTTTAGGACTACAGTACCCATCCAAGTGTCATTTGGGATTTGAAGTCATTTTGTGATCGCCATGGTTACCAGGGGCTTGTTCTGGTGTCATCTACCCTATATGAAGTACATCATCAGTGTCAACAGGTGGCAGTGTACTCTACGAACAAGGATATTTTCAGCCAGGTAGACAAATCACATTTCGAAAAATATGCTTGTATGGATATGACATATAACTCTATTATACACCATTGACTTTTATCAGTTCTTCAGTTATTTACAAGGAATTATGGAAAAAATTACATTTCTGTTATTTGCAAAAATATTGCAATTTTTTAGCTTGCTTATATTATTTGATATTCATTTATACACAGAAAGATAAAAGTATTATGGGATATATGGAGAGATTTAGAGACGTTTTACATTTTTTTGTGACTTTTGCAGTTTGACTGTTTTTATTGCAGATTTGCTGCGAGTTGGAGGAAGCCAATATCTCCAGCCTGGACGTGGAGCCGCTCAGCTGCACACTACATGCACTTCAGCTGTATAGGTGCAGGAACACAGCAGTCTACACCGAACAGGTGGTCATGCTCGTCAAGGAGTTCCTGGAAAGGAGGCAGCGCTCGTTGGCTCAGAACAGTCGGACATCATCCACCGAAGGCGTCGCCGGCAGCGCGCCCCTCTCACAGGGCTCCTCCGGCATCACGGACATGTACAGCTCCGACGCCGAGCCCGCCTCCACCATCTCCATCCACTCCCCGGAGAACCCCGCTGAGCTGAGCGAGCCGCAGCCAGCCTTCGGGGAAGGGGGCCCCGAGCTGCTGAGCCCCGACAGCGGCATGGCCACGGTGCGCAGTAGCCGCTCCTCCAAAGAGAGCTCGGTGTTCCTCAGCGACGACAGTCCCATGGGAGAGACGACTGGGTTCTTCCAGAACCCAGCTCTCGGCCTGTGCGTGGTCGCCACTGCTGTAGATCAAGGCGCACAAGAACACAGGCCCTCTGTGAGAAATAAAAGTGACAACTTTGACCTTCTTAGTTTAGATCCCATGCACGATTGCAGCAGCTCTCCTCCAGATGACGATGTCAAACTTTGTGGTGCTACCAAAGAACACATGGCTTCCAGCCTGTTAGAAGATGATGAGTTGAGTCTTATAGATTTCTATGATTCTGATGGGCAGAGAGTAAGTGAGGGAAGCTATTTGTCAGAGGATAGATTTACCTTGCCTTGTATGGAGCAGTCTGGGAGTGATGGCTCAGATACCAGAATCCCACCCACACCCATGAACAGTTTTGTTGAAACCTCACCTCTTAGTCATGGACTGCCAAAGTTCTTTTCAGAAGATATCATGGAGAAAATCAATGGAATTGTAAACAAAGAGAGTGTCTCATCATCTGATCCCTGGGATGACCTTATGTCAGACACCAAGGGGTCAACTTCAGATGATGCTATTATATGGAGTCTAGCAGAAGTGAGAGATATTGGTGAGAAAAGTCCAGATATTGGCCTGAACAGTAGGATGGAACTAAAGGGGACTGGAGGGAGAGAAAAGGAAGAATATCTAATAAAGGAGGGCAGCCAGTCAAGTGACTCACTCCTCTGGTCTCCTCCTGCTATGAAAGATGCATTAGATGTATTTGAATGGAACGTGGATGTATCAGACTCCAACCAAGCTGCAACTCAACATGAACAGGTATCTGACGTAACATTAGCCAACACGTTAATTCAGCAAGTTATATGTAATTTATGTGATGACCTTAACAGTGACACACTGGAAGCAAATGAATCCATGGCCATATCCTCAAAACCTGGAGTTCATATAGAGAATAATGATAATGGCAAAGACCCACATTATACATGCTCAGAGGGTACTAATTCAGAAATATTATTTGTGCAAAATGATTCAAGCTGTACTGAGAGCACCAAAAACGTTTGTTTGGTCTCAGACATTACAAATGATTTCCATTTAAAAGCAAACCTACAATTAATAGAAAAGAAAGACTGTCTGTCCTACAGTGACAGTGTGATTGCATCTAGATCAGAGGGTCTCTCTGCAGATTATGATCTCTCACTGATAGAACTAAATGAAACAGAAGTATCATCATTAACTAACAAAGAAATAGACCTGATGCATGTGGACAGAGACTTTTCACTTCTTAAATTACGAAGCCAGCTCACTGAGTCACCGGGCGACTTAACTGTTTCTCACAAGAATGCAAACGAAAGTATTGGGGAATCACAAGAAAAAAGCTCATTGCTTTTAGAGGATCTTTTCCTGCAGAAAATCGAAAATGAACCCCCTAATGAAAAGGACCCAAGTCCAGACACCTCCAGTACATGGAACCCCTTTGTTCAAACAGTTCCACCAGCTGAAGAGTACAATAGCTGGGTCCCGAACATAGGTGTCTCAGACATGTGGAGTTCAGGAAGCCTTGGTGATATTCAGTCAGTCCCAGTGGGTGAAGAGAAGTATGTTCCATTTTTTAATACAGAAGGGTCATCAGTGGTTGAAAAGCCAAGAACAATGGAAGCACAAACGAAATTCACGCCTGAAACCTGCAAAGGGGGTGGACCCCCTCGGTCAGATATTGACCCTTCTTCTGTTGAGAATGGAATCCAGACATCCTGCGCCATTTTTAATCTGGAGTCACTTGATATGTGGAACACAACTATTTGTGATGATTCACAGTCAACCATCACAAGTCCTGAAACAGCTGACCACTCAGAGGCATCTGAGCAGTGCAGTGGCCGCGCCCAGGGAGACTCCATGGACTGTCTTTCTCAGGATATCCACCGAAGCATGGAAATGTGGAACACCACAATACAAGAGGACACCCAGTCTGCTAGTCCTCAAACAAGAGATGACGGCATAGAAGTAGGATCATGTGAAACACCTTTCAGAAATGACTCGCAGGAAGGCCATGAGGACACAGACATAGGAAGTTCTAAGGACACAGAAAATATTCAGTCTGGGCATTGGAGCTGGAGTAAAACTAGCACAGATATCTATGGCCCAGAAAGTCGGAAGGAGTCAAAAACAACAAATTATATTCCGGATTCCCAAATTCTGTCAGTTGGTAGGTCATTGAATGAGACATCAGCTAGGTCTGATCGAGCTGCTGGACTGTTACAAGAAAACAGCATTGATAGTGGCCAACGCCACACTTTCAATGAACTAACATTAGACACCAAAACCGACATAATACTAAAAATGGATAATAAGAACATATACAAACAAACGGAGCTGGATCAGGTTAATGATTTTGAACATAGACAGAAATTTCTAGATCATCAGTCATCGGAGAAGAACCTTCACACTATACCCATCACTAAACAAATGGTGAAATCAGTATCACAGTATGACAATGTAGACCCTGAAGTTCAGTGGGATCAAGCCTCCCCAAACTTCATGACTTATCAGGAGACAAACACACTCACTGAAACATCATCACAAATAGAAGATCAGTCAACATTTACAGAAGAATGTAGACATGATGCAGCATCTACTGAGCTAACCTTTTATTTTGGGCCAGGTTTACTTCATGATAGAGATGGTTGTGCTCCAGAAACTGAGAGGGTCTTTCCAGTACATACTAGGGAGACAGCTTATGGGAAATATCAGGTAGAACGAGCCAAGGAAACTGATCACAGAAACCTGGATTTCTCGACTCCACAGAGACATTTACATTCTTCAAAGGATAAGGTAGTTCCTCAAATTGAAATATGTGATAATTCGCAAACAGAAACACTTTTCATTAATGACCTAAACCAACAAAAAGAAGACATTTTCAAAAATGCAACAAAGTTCCCATCTAATTTGTGTCCCGCTGACAGCACAGATGATGAAAAAACCACAAGGCAAGAGCCAAGTCATCATATGAGAAATGGATCTCTCACATTATTGGGGGTTGAAGGGGAAGGTCACATATCCAAACCTGTCAGCAGCCCTGAATCAGGAAGAAACATGTCAGATGGTAGTTGGGTGGATAGTGAATATGAAAATGATGTTGAATCGATGGAGGAAACAAGCCACTTCTCACCATTTATACTTTTGGATGATTCACTCCACTCAGATAGCAGCATGTTTCCATTAAACCAGGTAGATGATTCTGTCACAAGTGACCTTCCAAGTGCTGATGGGGCAGCGTACCTTAGCAAGGAGAACAACAAGTCCTCCAACTGTAGTGACTTCTTGTCTGTTGAGGAATTAGAAATCTCAGAGTTGCTAGAATATCCAAATATCTGCACTCGAGAATCTGAAGATATCTTCTTGGCTACTCCCACACAAGTAGATGAACATCCACACATGGCTTGTATTGACTCTGAGACCAGAGCAGTTGCCCTAGAGGCAATGAGCCCTACATTGTGGGATACAGACTCACTGGACAGAAAGCAAGACAGCTCTGAACGCCTGCAACTTGAGAGCCGAGACGATGTGAGATCTTTCTCAGACGGGGATTCCTCGGGGTTGGAGATGGAGTATATTATTGTTTTGGGGCAAGGGACAGTCCAGGAAGGTGATGGAAAAAGCAGAACAGAAAACATTACTCCAGATCTATTAAGCAGTCTAGTAGATATAAATAAACCTTGCACAAAGGATGCACATGTAAAAAATACCTGCCAAAGGGATACAAATGTAAAAAGTTCAGAAATAAATGCAGAGTTCCAGCTAAACACCAACTTCCCCAACCACTGTGAAGAACCTGCAGATGTGAAAAGCAGTGCTTCAGTCAAGGACACATTTACTCGTTTTAAAGCCAAAGATGACGTTTATGTCCGGTCACAGATTTCGCTGGAAGATTCGGATGATGAGGGGCGATCTACTCTAGGAACCCAAGGGTGGACACTGCTGGATAGGCAGAAAAAGCTGGTGGATTCCCCTGAAGAAAGCTCTGCAATAACTGATAGCCCTCTAGGTGGTTCAGGGGGGATTATAAAGGATATGGACTCACCATTGGCCAGCAATGCCAGGAAAGGAGCAGATGGCATCTTTTTGCATTTCACAGGCTCTGACATCAACTGTGTGGTTCATGAGAGAGAGAAGCAAAATATCATCCATGGCTTTAGCCAACACACTCATTTGGCTCAGCCACCTCCAGTGGGCATAATCCCAGTGCCAATGAACGTGAAATCAGTTGGAAGGAATAGAGAACCTGAATGCACAGTTGGGGATCAGATCTATAAAGATTATGAGGAAGTCATAGCAGAGCAGCTAATAGATCAGGAAGACGTAGCCGAAGTGATGAGGGAGAAGACAGGGAGTTCTTCTGCAGGAATTCTGCAGGCTGCTGGCTTCAGGGGCTTCAGGTGAGATTACCTGCTTCATTACTGTCTACCTGCCCACCTCAATGTAGCACCATTGTTGTCAGTGTGCATTGTTCTTTAAATAAAGCTTTTTAGCGTGGTTTTTAAAAATTGAGTGACAGGGTATGAATCTACCTAATGAAACAGAACCATTAAGTCAAACTTTTGACCTAAAAACCAATTCATGCAGATTTATCTGACTAGTCCTCATTAATATTGATAATTAGCATTTGTGAACAGATTTGTAAGTGCTTTTATTTGAAGTGACAAGCAAACAAAACACATCACTTTACCTTGGAATGTTCTATTTCGTAATGTAAATCTGGACTACTTTCCCAATTAATTTTACTATGAAATATTGCTAACAAAACGTCATACCTCCTTTCTAATCACTGTTCTTCCGTAATGATAAATTTTAGATGAGGCTCCAAAATGTTCTGGAGGATTTGGTTTATAATTATTATATTTATGGAAATATCTGCTTTAAAAGGGCGAGCCATGGGCCTTTGAGGAAGCAGAACAAAGCGTTAGGTTCTGTTCTCCTCAGGCCTTTGCGATTTGCTGCCTGGAGGTTTTGAATATTCAGATACAGGGTAACAGTTTGTTCAGGTTCCCATGGAAGGATCCATCCCTGGGATTGGCAGAGAGGATGTTGTTTGGAGCTCCAGGGAAGCTTGCTGGCGTGGCCGTTTATGCTTCATTAATTATGCATTAAATGCCTCATTACCGTTCAGTATTTACATGAACTAATTAAGTGTTTCCCCTGTTTTCATATATTCTGGGAATTTAAGAAAAACATTGAGAATGTTTATACAACAAAAATGTTTGGCTTGTTAATCTTCTTGCTATCATTATGGTGTGCTCTTATTTTCCTGTACCTCATGGTTATGGTCTTTATTATTTTCATAGCCCTGTTTTAGTTGGTTTACTTGCTACTCTGCCATGTTGTAGTTCAATTCTGTCATTTTTTTTAAGTAAACTGCTACTGTTGTCCCAAAGAGAAATTCATTAAGGTATTATTTTCTCAAGATTTGTATACCAAATTAACATGTTAAAGTGATATTCAGTGTATTTAATTAATCAAATCCCAGCACTACTGCTAAATTTATTTTATAAAACATTTAGGATGGCATAGTTTATTCTTACCCTTGTTTGTATATAGTCTGCTATCTGCACATAAATGGCTGAATTGTCCATTGAAATGATCTCTCATTATCTAATCCTGTTTATGTTCCTACTGTAGGCAAGAATGTCTCCCCGTGGGGAACCTTGGTGACTCAGAGGCTGGTCTGATTGTTCAATGGACGGAGAACAAAGATCTCGCCCAGTGCACGATTTCAGGGTCAGTTGCTGCCTCTGCCTCACTTGCAAATGCTCTGTGTTATTTTGAATGTCAGCATTCTCATTGAAAACGTTTTATTGTGCAGGTGTTGCTTCGTGAATGAAGTAAATGTTGTTTAAACAGGGTTAAATGTAATGCCCTTGCCACTAAATGGGCAGGCTCGTTTTTTGGTTATCATCTGAGGTAATGCCTGTGAAATACTGTCTGTTGTAAGATATTATGATGTTTATGCAAAAAGTATTGGTGAACAAGTCAGTAGTACTAAAAATAGCCTCTCCATTAATCAGATCTTGTGAATATCTACTGAAAGTGGTAGGTACTTTCTGATAACGTTCTAGTACTTACAGTAAGAGATCATGGAAGATGGACTGATGGTAGGAACTCATGAAGGGAAGAGAAAAGAGTCTAGAACTACTAGTGAACTACCAGGAGAACACAGAAATATCAAATCACTAAATGAAAGCAGGATACTCCAAACCGGGCTTTCGGACAGTTCCTACCTACTGAAGAGTGGACAGAAGTAATACAGAAATACCAAATTTTAGATGATGCCATAGATTAACTGAATGGTAATATCACCAGAAAAATGTTCACCAGGTAGTGCAGGTCCATAATTCAGTGCCCTACAGTGCCCTCACTGTCATCAGTCCATGCACAGAACAGCATGCATGGCTGTGTGATGAGTATAATCTCAGTGAGCATCAGGTACCACTTAGAAACACATGAACGGAAAGTAGGAAAAGTGTCTGACACACATCGCAGGTGCAGGTTTTTAGACAAATGTTTACATTGATATAAAAATGTTCACAAAAATGTCAGACTTTTAACGATGTGAGTGATTAATTTTTCAAATTTATTTAAATCCCACAAATAATCTTGTTGCATTTATAGTTAAAATATAAGATCATTTATTTTCCTGATACAAGATTAGTTAAAACAAAAAGCATGTCTCTGGCCACAAGAGGGCGATAATTACTTGTACAGGCAGTTCTTAACTGACGAAAGTTATCAGTTCCACAAACCCGTAAGTCAAATTTTTCATAAGCCATATTGACCTTCCCATACCATGTCACAGCTTATAGCTAATATATAAGAAGATCAAGTGCATATTTACCCACAGACTTGTTTTGCTGTTTTGTGTTAGTGCTTCTGTAGGGAACACACCAGTCAGGGGAGATATTTGCAAGGCTGAGGTTTATTTCGAGTCCAAGGCAAACGAGCAGAGTGGGATGGGGAGGCAGGGTCCGAAGGTCCAGACTGGAGACACTGGGAGGTCACGAGCAGGACAATGAGAGGAGAGGGAGGACAGGAACGGACTTGGGCTGGAAAGCGAGAAGGTCTGGCAGGGCGGAGCGGAGCTAGACAAAAGACAGGGGTTAGTATGCTGAGTACATCTCGTAGGAGTAGTGACAATATCTGGCACTGAACCAGGGTTTGGACAAGGCTTAAGTTACTGCTGCTGATTAGTGCTAATTAAATTCGGCTGTGTTGGGCTGAGCGCTGAAGGGCGTGACCGCTTCTGTAACCTCTATGTCTCTTGGATTTTTTTTTTGGAGTGAGGATCATTTTGACATATACTGTAAAATATTATAAGTATGTGGACACCAGCTTGTCCATCATCTCATTCTGAAACCAAGAGTTGGTTGGTTTGAAGCTGGTTCACTTCTTGATTTCCGTACTAGCCTCTACTCTTCCAGGATGGCATACACACATAAGCAATCCCAAACATACTAACATGTTGTATATGTTGTAAATGTTTGTATACTGAAATATCCCTACAACCCTGATCAGGATGAACAGTTAGAATTGGATGGATGGATACTGAAATATCATAACTATGATGTTGTTAAAATTGCCATTGTTTTGCGCTTCATGATCCTTAATGATTTAGTGATTTTATAACTGGAGAGACTGGGATGGGTTGGTGCATCCTGGATTGTTCCCTACCTTGTGCCCATAGCCTCCGGGATAGGCTCCGGGATAGCCTCCGGGATAGGCTCCGGGATAGGCTCCGGGATAGGCTCCGGGATAGGCTCCAGACGCAGTTACAGAAAATAACTGATAGGGAGGATGGATAACTGCAATGAAAGTTATTGCAAAATACAAAAATTAAAAAGAACCAAACAAAACTCATCCTATGTCTCTGACTAGAATGGTAATCGGCTACATAGCATTTAAGTGTTATTTTCATTGAAATAGCTACATTGTGTTTGATTATATCATGTTAGCTTGTTGATAAGAGTCATAACCGGAGAAGCCTGGTAAGCGTTAAGTAGACCCTTGAACTGCAGAGTGGAGATCACGTGAGGCTGTGTGTGTACGTGTGTTGGTGAGTAGTGAGCATGGTCGTAACAGTGTGATTAAAACAAAAAAAAACACCTTTGAGCTCTCAGCCTGGATTCTCCAAATTCCATAGACTGAAACAACACCTTCGGTGAGTGTAATAATGTACAATAGAATCTGCTACTGGTCTTACTGTATGATACCCCTAACAATCACAGTGGATTATGCTTTGAAAAGTTCAGGTTATCTGTCAACCGTGCTTCTGTTTATAATTACATATCAAGAAAGATTTCCTACAAAACATTTCTGCTTTGAAACAGGAACAAGATTATCCTGTGTTCCTGTATGCTTGTGATGTTAACCGAGAATCACAAAGATACGCTTGTCTTGCTTTTTAAAGTGTACTTTTTAAAGTGCTCACAAAGAAAAAAAAATATGATTGTGGGTGTGGTTTAATTTTCTCAGTGCTGTTCCATACACAGACCTATGGCCTATGATAGTGTTCCTGGGGGGGGGGGGTACAATAGAAATTTACTCAGTATTTGAAGGTCGGCTATAGCTTGAAGAGACCTACACCTTAAATGACCATCAAAACCATTGTACTATATTTTTGTGTGTTCCTTAAATGGCCATCAGTATAGTATACACTCAAGGCCTGCAGAATGACACATGACTTTGCACCTTCAAGGCTGTCAAGACTGAATTTATTTTAGTCTCAGTTTTCACACAGTGCAAAGAAATACTGTAGAGCTGAATTAAGGAATTAAATTTGAAAGAGGATTGTGCCATGGCAATTTGCTAGTGGCTATGTTTAGGATATGTGAGCTTGCATAAGCGAGACTGATGACAAAGCGTGCAGGAGCACTGTCATCTGTATGGTCATGTGGCTTTTTGTGTTCAGTGCCGTCCTGTTCCAGCTCATACAGTATAAACAGTGCTGGTGTCAGCACAGTGAGTACAGTGAGTACAGTGAGTGCAGTGAGTACAGTGAGTACAGTGAGTACAGTGAGTACAGTGAGTACAGTGATCTCGATTTAACATAGTTTCCTTGGTGACTTTGTCTTTATCTAAAAACAGTAAAAAAAAAAAAAATATTGGTACAATTATATTATACAGTGGTACCCCAGAACTCGAACTTAAGGATTGAATCCTAAAAAGTTGAGTTCTGATCGAATTTTCCCCATAAGAAATAATGGAAAACCAATTAATTGGTTCCCGGTCCCAAAAAATTATGTTAATGTTTTTTTTTTTTTCGACTTTTAAGAAATTTGAGTTCTAATGAGTTCGAGAACTGAGGTACCACTGTATGTATATTAAACTAAATTAATTACAGAGCATTTTCATGTTCTAGTTATCTGTACTCATCCGAGTTTGGCTAGTGATAAAAAATGGGTAATTCTCTTTTAAAGATGCAAAAGAAGGAAAAGGTGCTCTGGTGTTTTTTTGCACTTTCAACATTTGGACTTTATATTCAATTCAATTCAACTTTTGTTTAAATAGCACCTTTCACAACAGAGTTCTCCTAAAGCGCATTAAATAAGTGTGTTGTGGTATGTTACAACGTCATTAATTCCATTCAACTCAGTTTTATTTGTATATTGCATTTTCACAACATCACATTGTCTCAAAGCACTTTACATTATCCCTGCCCAAAGCCCCCAGTCAGCAAGCCAGAGAGACAGTGGCAAGGAAAAACTCCCTTGAAGGAAGAAACCTTGGGAGGAACCAGACCCAAAGGGGGAGCCCATCCTGCAGGGGACAGCAGAGGAAGCCCTAACCCTAACCAGACCCAAAGGGGGAGCCCATCCTGCAGGGGACAGCAGAGGAAGCCCTAACCCTAACCAGACCCAAAGGGGGAGCCCATCCTGCAGGGGGCAGCAGAGGAAGTCAAAATGACAAGAAGGCAAAACCCTAATTTACCTTGTCAAAACTTTTAGATGTACTGTAAGTTATTCTGTCTTAATCTAAAACTTTTTAGATTAAGACAGAGTAATAAAAAAGCAGGGAAAAGGGAAGACAAAGAAAAGGGAGAAAGCCAGCCAGATCGCAACGGAGAAGAGGAACAAAAACTCCTAAGTAAGGAGAAAAAAAACCTCTGGTGGTCCAAGATCAATATACTGCCCAACCCTCCAGGCATGATAAGATTATAGAAAAACAAAGAATGGGCTTGTTCGCTAAAAGCATGGTGTCAGCTGTGATCAAGGTCAAAGCCAAAGTCTAACAATCAAGTTTGCACACTCAATGTTACAGTGTGTAGGTCACATTCACAGTGTCACCCTTCCATGGGACTGAACCAGGACTGCAGCTCAGACACTATCCACCCCGGGCACTATTCAGATATGTGGGAAGGAAGGCATTTAGTTTTCAACAGCTTTTTAGTGTTAGTTTCACTTTGAGTAAAAAGAAAACCACATGAGAATGTGTAGAAAAGAATGGGGAGTGGAAGGCAAAAAGAAAAGATATCAGAGTTGACAGGTCTGGCTGAAGAGAATGTCAATGTGTAGAGATTTAGAGACATTAATTTAAAAATAAATAATAAAAAAATGGGAAACCATTTTAATAGGTAATAGGTCTTCAGTCGAAATTTAAAGACCGAGACAAATTCAGCATCCCAAACATAAGCTGGCAAAGCCTTCTACAACATAGGCGCAGAATGTATTACTGCCAACTGTCACTTTATTTATATGTGAAATAACAAGGAAACCGGTGTGCTGTGA